CAAGGCAGTGACTTCTTGCAGCTGCTTCTACTTACTGAGGACCTCTGAATGGCTGAGCACCCCATGCTTCCTTGTGGTCTTCTGAGGGTGAACTGTTAGGAGCATCAACAGATGGACAGCTGCCTGGGTAGTGGGTATGGAAACAATAGGCATCATGAGCTTCTGAGGCCTGGAAGGAACCGGAGAGGAGCCAGTGACTTGCAGGGTAACTATCTGAAACAGCATCGGAAGCCATCCCCAGACCAGTTTGAATAAACCTCTGCCAGTCCTCTTCCTTGCAGAATGCAGAGCATATGTGTTAAAAATGGGCATCGCCTGGAGAATTTTTGTTTCTTTGGGAAGCAATAATGGCAGCCTGCGGGCAGTTTTCATTTAAGGTGTCTCGCTCAAAGCCAGGGCACCTTAAAAATTCTTGTGTCTTATGTCTACAAGGATGGAGCCTATGTGAACAGGAATCTGATCAAACAAACAAAGAGGAAAGGGAAAGAAAGAAAAAAGAAACGAGGGAACCAAGGAAGGAAGGAAGGAAGGAAGGAAGGGAGGAAGGAAGGAGGGAAGGAAAGACGAACAACACAAATCATCCTAAGTATCAATGCTTTTGCAAAAGCAAGCCATGTTTTTCAGGTGTTCTTTTCTTGTGTGTCCCTGGATGGAAGCAGTAGAACTGCCAGGGGCTTCCCTGACACATGGTGGTGGTGTCCCCACATCTCTCTGTCTCAGACATACTCACAGACAGGCCAGGCCTCCTCCCTTTGGCTTCTCCATCATTCTCTTGTGGGGCCGCTGCGTTCTCTTCCCAGGGTGTCCTTGCCGGCTGCACAGAGAGGTCAGCTGCCAGGGTGCCGGACGCCACTGACAGGTGCTGCAACAGGTGCTCCTGTGTTGACAGCTATTTCACCTGTCAGACAAGCTTCTTGTAAAACATGGGCCAGACGCAAGTTGGGACATGTCATTCTCCTTGTGTGGGATGGTTGTAACCCGGTGTCATCCTATAGCACAGTGGGAAATCTGAACAAGCCTGGGCCGTGGCAGCTAAATATGCCTTCACTTCCTACAGAGATTTTGGTGGGGGTGGTGGTCGGCATTGACTCTTTCTGACTTACCTTAACAATGAAATGTCACTAGCAATTTGGCAGTTCTGGGGAATGAGAAGGGGGGGCTGAGAGAGGCCTTTTGGAATCTCTGCTTGTCATCTAGAGTGTGTCTAGTTGGTGAGCCTGATAATTCCCTTCACCATGAGTACAGGCTAGGTAAGCCTGGCCTTGCCCTCGAGGGGCCTGTGTTGAGAGTGGGAGACAGCAGGAGCATGGCCACTTGTTTTTTGTTTTTTTTTGAGATGGAGTCTCACTCTTGTTGCCCAGGCTGGAGTGCAGTGGCCCGATCTTGGCTCATTGCAACCTCTGCCTCCCGGGCTCAAGCTATTCTCCTGCCTCAGCCTCCTGAATAGCTGAGATTACAGGCGCCCGCTATCACGCCCAGTTAATTTTTGTATTTTTAATAGAGATGGGGTATCACCATGTTGGTCAGGCTGGTCTCGAACTCCTGACATCAAGTGATCTGCCCGCCTTGGCCTCCTGAAATGCTGGGATTACAGGTGTGAGCCACTGCGCCTGGCCGAGCATGGCCACTTCTAAGACCACCTGGCTCTCACAGAGGAAGGAACAGGTGCTGTGGGCAGCCAGGACGGGGGCAGTAAGTTCTTCCCAGAGGAGGTGAAACTTACGAGTTTGAGAGGACCAGGAAGTGAGCCCAAGGTGGCTCAATGTGCAGGGAGTAGTGAGGGCATTCCAGGGAGAAGTTACAGCAGGTGCAGGCACAGGGACGTTTGAGCCAGAATAGGGATGTTGGGTGAGCGGCAGCTTTGAGCCTCTGTCCCCCAAGCCACTCCTCGGGGGAACCACAAAGCTTCTGGCCCATAGATGGCCACAGGGAAACAGCTAGATGACGTTGAGAGAGCCAGGACTTTACAACCAGCCTCCTCTGGAGACAGCCTGTTCCCTCCACTGTCCCTGGAGTATTGTTCTTGAGTCCCAGTCACCCCAGAGAGCCTGAAGGCCCAGCCAACTACATGGCTGAAACTTGGGGTATGGCTCTACCATCTCCTGGAGAGACCCAGAGAGCCAGTGGCCAGGCCTGACCTGGGCAGGCGTTGCCATGTGCGGGTGGACTTCTCCCTGTGGAGGAGCGTGAAGGATTCTGCGATGAGCAGTGTGGCTCCCTACCTTGTGTACGTGTGGGCGTTTCTTAAGTACACGGATAGAGACAGCAACCTGAGGGTGAGGCGAGGGCAAACAGCCTGGTAGGGGATCCCCGTAAGATTCAGAGCAGTCCCGTGGGATGCCCAGACACTCACGGAAGTGAATTTCAGCATGGCAGTGGTACAGAGTTTGCATCTCCGTTGATTCTGCCGGCTGCTTTCTCCAGAGCCCACAGGCCTGCTGTGGCCAGATCTGCTCTGGCACAGCTATGGTGATCAGGTCCCTGCCCTCAGCTCTGCTTCTTGGTCTTTGAAATCTTCACTGCTCCTCCTCAGTTCCTGTGCCCCCACCCCTCATCCTCGACTTTGACCTTGCAGCAAGAGGCAGTGGAAGGCCTGATGGTGGAGTCAGACCTGGTAGGAGCCTTAACATTGGGGGTCCTTAGTCCCTTCCTCTTTGCAGTGGGGGGTATGAGTGCTTGAGCTTTGAGATGTTGGTTTGAGAGGATAGATCCCCCGACTCCCCAACTCACAGAAGGGGCCAGGGGATCAGTGTAAGAAAGCCAGCCTCCTGTATAGCTTGGACATGGCTTGCTGGAGACTTTTCTCTTTCTCTAGTCTGTTGAGTAGGGTTTTTTTTTTTTTTTTTTTTTTTTTTTGAGATGATCTTCCTCTGTCACCCAGGCTGGAGTGCAGTGGCAAGATATTGGCTCACTGTAGCCTCAACCTCCTGGGTTCAAGTGATCATCCCACTCAGCCTCTTGGGTAGCTAGGACTACAGACACACACCACCATGTCCAGCTAATTTTTGTAGTTTTTGTAGAGACAAGCTCTCATTATGTTGCCCAGGCTGGTCTCTAACTACCGGGTTCAAGCGATTCTCCTAACTGGACCTCCCCAAGTGCTGGGATTACGGGCATGACCCACCGTGCCTGGTTTATGTTTTCTCTTTAAACAACTTTTTATGTGGAAAAAAATTAAATTTCATGCAAAAATAAAAATAGTGTAGGGAACTCCCTTGTACTTTTAACTCATATTTTCCTGTTAACGTTTTTTGCCTGTTTGCTTTCTGATTCATCCGTGTATATATGTGTGTGTGTGCACACGAATGGTTTTTACTAAACCATTGGAGGGTAAGTTATATATATCATGGCCCTTTCCTGCAAATAATTATGTATTTCCTAAAAATAGGATATTTACATCTTCTAGTAAATAGCTACCTGATATGGTAATATAGTTTTAGGTGATTATGGTAATATAGACAGAGGCAGTTCATGGTATTTTGTAAATTCTATTAAATCCTGTTTTAATTTTTTGCTCATGGTAATTATAACTATGCCCATAATCAATAATCAAGCAGGTGATGTGCAGCCTTTAATGTCAAATTTTCCCTCCCTTTTCTAATGTCCCTGGTTGATGATGTCTTGAGCGATTCATTTTTGCTTTTTTTGAGACAGAGTCTTTCTCTGTCACCCAGACTGGAGTACAAGTGGTGCCATCCAGATCACGCGCTCGGTGCTCCTGAGTCAGTGAGTTCTATGCTTAGCTCCTGAAGAGCTGGGATTACAGGTGTGCCACCAAACCCTGGCTAATTTTGTATTTAGTGAGAGACAGGTTGCCAGTGTTGGCCAGGCTGGTTGCATCGAACCCTGGACTCATGTGATCACCGCTGTGGCCTCCAAAGTGCTAAGAGTTACGGCGGTGAGACACCGGACGCTGGCCGCAGATTCAAGTTTTTAACTTTATTTTATTTTGAGACGGAGTCTCCGCTCTGCACCAGGCTAGGAGGCGAGTGGCGCAATCTCGACTACACTGCAGGGCATCGTGCGCGCTCTGGGTCATAGCCATTGCCTGCCTCAGGGCCTCGCTGAGTAGCTGGGGCATACGGAGGTGCACAGCACTCGACGCTGGCTAATTTGTGGTTATTTTTGTAGTAGAGATGCGGTTATCACCGGGTGTTAGCAGAGGTGACTCCACCGTCCTGGCCTCGAAAGTGCTGGTGATTACAGGTTGAGCTCCGTGCCTGGCCATACTTGGTATTTTTGTGACCTTCTGTATGTTGTTGACATGGTGGTGTGGGCAGTGGGTTTAAATAGTTAGGGAAGCTTAGCGTGATTTGTCTCAAGCTCCCAGTCTAAGCAAGAGACCAATGCTAATCAGATACATAAGCCAGGGGTCAACAAACTATGGCCCAGGGACCAAATCCAGCCCGCTGTCTGTTTTTGTACAGCTCAGGAGCCAAGAATGATTTTCACATTTTAATGGTTGAAAAAGAACTAAAGGAAAAATACTATTTTATGACAAGAGAAAGTAATATGCAATTCAAATTTCAGTGTCTATAAATAAGATTTTACTGGAACACAGCCATGGCCAAGCATTTCTTGCTGTGGCTGCTGTTCCACCACCACAGCAGGGTTGAGGAGTTATCACCGTGATTGCGGGACCTGCAGAGTTTACAGTATTTCCTCTCTGTATTGTTACAGAAGAAGTTTTCCAACCCCTAGTGTAAACACCCTGGAAGTGCTGGCAAGGAGGGATAGATACAAAGAGAAAGAGGTTATGTTCTAGGGAGTCTGTGTGGGGAGCTGGGGGAGGGATCCTTAGTTGGGAGCTGAGGGGAGGGAGGGGGTTTGCTGGAAGAGTGGATTGTGCCTCCCAGACAGCACACTCAAAGGTCCTGTGGCTGGGGACTGTGACCTTTTCAATGGCTGAGAGGGTGAGGGATAGAGATGTTCAGGAGGGGTCAGAATGGGTGCGGGGCTCTGCCGGAAGGGGCTGACTCTTGTCCTTCCCTTTCTTTTAGGTAAAACCTGTTTCCCAGCCTGTTGGCATCCTGTGGAAAGTTGGTCAGCTGCAACCTGGGGTGTGAAGACCTGGAAGCCCTCTCGCATCAGAGGTGTTGAAACCAAAATGAACGTTATATATAAAACCCCAGCTCCATTGTGGGTGTCAGGCGTCTGCTCAGAGCGTCACTGGCAAGCTCGTTTCCACATCACAACGGAGTTGCTTCTGCCACCCTTTGGGCGCCCCTTTAAAGTGTCCCCCACTTCTACTCCCCGTGTAAAAGGCTTTGTGCCTTGCTACGGAGCAAAGGGTAGAAACATGTTGATTTTAAAAAAGTTTTTTTAAGACAATTGTTGACAATAGTAAAAGAGATCAGGAGGATCAAGAATCTAAAACAAGCCTGAAGGATGTCCAACTGTGTATTTAGAATTTCTGACATTCTTCTCTACTGGATCTACACATTGGACCCCGTCTGATCCTTTGCTTTTTTTTTTGGCTTGGTCAGGTCCTGGCCTCATTTTGGCATTACCTGTGTCAGAGTTCAGGGTGGATGTGCTTAGAGCTGGTCAGCCCCTTCCAGACCTGGACACTTCTGTGGTTCCTTTCCCTCCCTCCCTCCCTCCCTCC